CGTACAGTCAATAACATAATAGAAAATATATATACAGTGTGTGCAAATGTAGTAAGTTATGGAGGTAAGGCAATAAATAGGCCATAGTGCAAAATAATTACAATGTATTATTAACACTGGAATGATAGATGTGCAGAAGATGATGTGCAAATAGAGATACTGGGTGCAAATGAGCAAAATAAATAACAATATAGGGATGAGGTAGTTGGGTGGGCTAATTACAGATGGGCTGTGTACAGGTGCAGTGATCGGTAAGCTGCTCTGACAACTGATGCTTAAAGTTAGTGAGGGAGATAACAGTCTCCAGCTTCAGAGATTTTTGCAGTTCTTTCCAGTCATTGGCAGCAGAGAACTGGAAGGAATGGCGGCCAAAGGAGGTGTTGGCTTTGGGGATGACCAGTGAGATATACCTGCTGGAGCGCATACCAGGGGTGAGTGTTGCTATGGTAACCAATGAGCTAAGATAAGGCGGGGATTTGCCTAGCAGTGATTTATAGATGACCTGGAGCCAGTGGGTTTGGCGACAAATATGTAGTGAGGGCCAGCCAACGACAGCGTACAGGTCACAATGGTGGGTAGTATATGGGGCTTTGGTGACAAAACGGATGGCACTGTGATAGACTACATCCAATTTTCTGAGTAGAGTGTTGGAGGCTATTTTGTAAATGACATCGCCGAAGTCAAGGATCAGTAGGATAGTCCGTTTTACGAGGGCATGTTTGGCATCATGAGTGAAGGAGGCTTTGTTGTGAAATAGGAAGACGATTCTAGATTTAACTTTGGATTAGAGATGCTTAATGTGAGTCTGGAAGGAGAGTTGACGGTCTAACCAGACACCTAGGTATTTGAAATTGTCCACATATTCTAAGTCAGACCCGCCGAGAGTAGTGATTCTAGTCGGGCAGGCGGGTGCAAGCAGCGTTCGATTGAAATGCATGCATTTAGTTTTACTAGCATTTAAGAGCAGTTGGAGGCTTCGGAAGGAGTGCTGTATGGCATTGAAGCTCGTTTGGAGGTTTGTTAACACAGTGTCCAATGAAGGGCCAGATGTATACAAAATGGTGTCGTCTGCGTAGAGGTGGATCTGAGAGTCACCAGCAGCAAGAGTGACATCATTGATATACACAGAGAATAGAGTCGGCCCGAGAATTGAACCCTGTGGCACCTCCATAGAGACTGCCAGAGGTCCAGACAACAGGCCCTCCGATTTGACATATTGTACTCTATCTGAGAAGTAGTTGGTGAACCAGGCGAGGCAGTCATTTGAGAAACCAATGCTATTTAGTCTGCCAATAAGAATGCGGTGATTGACGGTGTCGAAAGCCTTGGCCAGGTCGATGAAGATGGCTGCACAGTACTGTCTTTTATCGATCGCGGTTATAATATCGTTTAGGACCTTGAGCGTGGCTGAGGTGCACCCATGACCAGCTCGGAAACCAGATTGCATAGCGGAGAAGGTACGGTGGGATTCGAAATGGTCGGTGATCTGTTTGTTAACTTGGCTTTCAAATACTTTCGAAAGGCAGGGCAGGATGGATATAGGTCTGGAACAGTTTGGATCTAGAGGGGGATGACCTTTGAAGAGGGGGATGACCGCGGCAGCTTTCCAATCTCTGGGGATCTCAGACGATACGAAAGAGAGGTTGAACAGGCTGGTAATAGGGGTTGCAACAATTTCGGCGGCTTGGTCAGTCTGTCAGTCTTGGTCAGTCTGTCATGGAAAATGTTTTGTACACTCAGTGTATATGGGTCTTTCTATAAACTAGGGTACCAGTGAGGATTTCCTATGCTGGACAACTTGTCACAGCTGTTGATAAGTCATTGATACTAATCTGCAAATAGCTGTTGGACAGTTTTCTGTATAGAAATCTCAGAAATGCAGTAACATTTCGTATCTCCATTTGTTAGGTGGTGAAAACAGTTTTCATGGGCACACAAATAGGCAAAAATGTATGCAGTTGCAAAATCGAATGCTTTTAACCGAAATAGTTATCTTACCTTGATACTTAAAACCTAAATGATACTGTCATCAACGTGGTTCTTCAATAATTATGCATAATACTTGTTGGATGCGCATTTGGTGTCAAGCTGTTTTATTACTCTGTGATATTTTCACACATCATCAGATCCAGGAAGCAATTGCAACAACAGCCGAAGTGCAGAAAGAAAGGTGTTCGCAAGGAATGTCCAGAATATTTTGGTGTCTTATTGCTTATGCTGGTGAAGACAGTTGTGCCTGGATCCATGTTGGATCTAATATCCCTAGCAAATTGCTGTTGATCATCTGTTGTCTGCTTGATTTACAGCAGGGTCTCGTTAGATGTCATGTTTTGTGCCTCAGATTGTACACAGTCTGTGCTCAATTGTGTAGACTATTGTGCAACACCAAATGCTATTCCTATAAATCATTCTGGATATTCTGCTAAATGATGTAAATGTAAATGTAAATAATGACAACAAATTGCATAGCCTAGTGGGCTTCTTCACAATATATGGTAATGAAATAACATGACAAATACATTTTGGTTTCCATGTCACACCTGCAATTTTAAAAAAATACAAAGGGCTTGAAGCAGCCTACTTGAATTTGGAGCTCAGAATATGAAGTACTGGAATATCCTCAATTTGGTGCTTGAAAATTATTTGTAATTATTGTAGCAAATTTATAAGTTCTGCTCCCTTACAATTATCTGTGATTAAATTTTTTATCAGTTTTTGTGAGAGATGTGGCCACTTTCGTTTGTTTCCCGGCACTTTAATGGAAGGGTGTTGCGCTACTCTGTTGCGGTAAAAGCACGTGCGGTTATTATTAGGACGACAGTATCTAATGTTGGCTTCAACTTGGCTTTCCATACAAATCCTTGGTTTTTGGTCGCTTTCTCATTATAAAAACAGCTATAGCGAGATTCAAATGGTGATATTAATGCTACTACTATGCATGGCTTTATTATATGTGCCTGCGTCGGCCACATAGGCTACAGAAAAATCGCCATGCATGCATCCAATTTATTTAATCAGGCATGTCCACATTATTCTCACATATTTTAGAATGTAATAATAATTTGAATATCAATGCATTGTCATGGCCTAAAATAGTAATTATTCTAGGCCCTATATGTACAAAGCTGTCAAAGTTGCGAAACCTTTCAGGTCCAGTAGAGGTGAGGCGCCTCCCGGTGGCAGCATTCACTTTCAGTCACTCCGCCAAAACTCTGATGCGGTAAAGAGGTCAATGGAAATGCGTGGGGGAAAGCTCCCGAATCTCCTCATTGGCCGCCCCCCCCCCCGGCAAAAATTTTCTAATTTAGGCTATTGTTTATGTGTATTTCAAACTATGTTGAGGTAAAAATGGGAGTATAATGCTTGTATGTATGTCAACCCCAATATATGTTCATGCCATCGTCACTGATCAACTGCATTGCAGTTAAAAACGACTTTGACTACCACCACCAATTTTCTGTGTGCTACCTATGGTACCAGCTTATACGAACGGGAGTTAGCATTTAGCAGTCACTTCATCTAAACCTGAAAATGAACAACTTCTAAATGTTATGCAGCGAAAACATCGAAATATATCCAAATCAGACTTTAGCAACCACATTGTGGGCCTGTTACAATACATCAATCATGACAGATTTGACGAATATCAATTTTGTTAGATCAGATTTGTTGAATGTGCGCCAATCCGGCGTCCTTCTGCTATCCCCCACGGGCTCCGTTCCATTGACCTCTTACCAATGACGCATTTTCATGAGTGGTTACTATGGCAATTCAAGATGGCAATTCAAGATGGCTTTACCCATAAACCTTGTTCAAGATCAAAATACAAAACATAGATATGTTTCTGTTACAACACATGTTTAGTATTAGTGGATTGAATACATGTCTTTGCTCAGCTTTACTTCCGGAAGTGTTTCCATTATCCTTTAATGTAGCTGCAATAATCATTAACTTAAAAGTTGAGGGATGGGGCTGGAGAAATGTAAACACTCAAATTCATAGACAGAGCTATGGATGCAAGGACTGACCATCTATGATCTCAAAATCATAGTTTTAACCATGTTTTGAGGCTATATAGTGTATTTTTTTTTACAAACAAAAGAATAAAACAAACTTGTATTTTGGGTTCTGATGGGGTACGACAGTTGATCTAAGCTCATGGGGCATTTATAAGTTTATATTCTTCAAGAATCAATGGGTACATATTCATTTATAAGTCAAAAAATGTATGTGCAACTGCAGATTTTCCCCTTTTAAGCTAACGGCCTGTCCGACCCTGTAGTGCAGCTCTAAGCAAGCATGAGGTGTCAGATCTGCTGGCTACTAGCTAGCGGCTAACGTTAATAGAAGTTAGCTAGTAGCGTCACATCGTACCTTCAGACAAAACCCAGAGGAAACTCAAGAATTGCTGGTATCTAAAATCACTATCTGGTCTCTTCACTCGATGATCAACTCTTCTTAGTCACTCACACAGTTTATATGCTACACACACTCATTATTTACAGTCCAGCAAACGGTCACAGCTGTCCACCATTAACCGGGGAACAAAATCACCTCAGAATTACACAGTTACCCACTCTAACTTCAAAACCAGCCCAGTCCCCTCCCCCTCACGCTTGCTATTGGTGGAAACGGACTGAACTCTTGCTTTACCCAATCGAACTGCCCCATTTGTGCCATCTACTTTGGCATTAACTGGTAGCAGTAAAGGGCCTGGGCCCGGTTTCCCAAAAGCATCTTAAGGCTAAGTTCATCGTTAGATCCATATCTAACGATGAACTATGGATCTAACGATGAACTTAGCCTTAAGATGCTTTTGGGAAACGGGCCCTGGGCTACATCTGTTTGAAGATGGAATAGATACTTAAATTATATGTCTTGTCATGTAAAGCAAAATACCCACCACTGCTTAGATGTTCTCAAAGTTTCCTTCACTGCCCTCTACTGGACTACTTTTCAAATGACACAACATGATGTGATGTTTCCTTCCCTCTCCAGTGGCTCCCTCTGTGCCTGTCGTCAGGGTACAGGGCGAAGCAGAGTACTGGACCAACATCAAACTGACCTGTGTGTCTGAAGAGGGCTCCCCCACCCCCACCTACGGCTGGAAGACCTATGATGTCAGGAACACCCCCAGAGCATTCCCACCTAGGACCACTGAGAGTATGTGATATGATGTGATGTGGTGTGTGTGTGTGTGGTCAGCTTTACTTTGTGCAAGCCATAGAATAATGGCAGGGTTTTTAGCAAAACTTCCTAATTTGTTTATCAGTGTGTACGTGCAGCTGTATTTAAACTTTAACTTCCTAATTTCCTTGTTGTTCTTTCAGAGAATGGCGTTCTGTCTCTGTTCAATATCTCCGTTGAGACTTCTGGTTTCAACATCTGCACGGCAACCAACCAGATCCGCTCTGCCAGCTCCAACTTTACTCTCATTGTCATGCCCCGTGAGTATTCAGTATACCCTGTGAGTATTGAGTATTGAGTATTGCGCTTGCTATTTGTTTGGACATGTAAGTGGAGATGGGTTGGAAGCTGCATTAGGTTTGGAGCGATGACTGAATCAAGGCCTCTGAAACTCAGGCACCGAGTTCCATTTATCAACAAGACTTCCAGTCTTGCCATCAGACTCCTTTTTCCTAATCCTCTCTTTTTCCTAATCTTCTCTTTTTTTGCTTCTCCTCCTCCTCTTCTATCACTCTACCTCTTCCCTCTTTAGAATCCATGAAGATGGGGGCGAGGGCGGGCATCATTGGACTGGTCCTAGCTGGGGTCCTGGTCCTGGGGATTGTCATCTACTGCTGCTGGAAGAAGAGGAACAAAGCTAAACAGGAGAATGTTCAATGGTAAACAGCTGTTCTGCTCTCCTCTCTGGGTCAGGATGTTATGGTGGACAGTTTGGTGAGGGGTGTGTGGGAGTGGTGTGGGTGAGAGGACGAGGTTGGTATGTTCTTGTTGTCTTTGTCTTTCTTTGTTTTGCACTCTCATGTCTCCCTGTCTGTCTCTCTGTCTCTCAGAGCTCCAAAAGCAGTGGAGTTCCCTGACACGCCCACACTCAAAGTTGGGGTAGGATACCGGGACGACATACCGGATGACAGGACCAATACGAGACGAGAGGGGAGATGGACTGCGATGACCATAGCGTTAGAACAGATCGCAGTAAAGGCCGTAAGGAGAATTCTGATGACAACCGCAACAACTACACTGCTCAAAAAAATAAAGGGAACACTTAAACAACACAATGTAACTCCAAGTCAATCACACTTCTGTGAAATCAAACTGTCCACTTAGGAAGCAACACTGATTGACAATACATTTCACATGCTGTTGTGCAAATGGAATAGACAACAGGTGGAAATTATAGGCAATTAGCAAGACACCCCCAATAAAGGACTGGTTTTGCAGGTGGTGACCACAGACCACTTCTCAGTTCCTATGCTTCCTGGCTGATGTTTTGGTCACTTTTGAATGCTGGCGGTGCTTTCACTCTAGTGGTAGCATGAATGCTAGAGTATATCTGAACCCATCTTTCGCCTCTGGCTCAATAGGGCCAGCCAAATCAGTGTGCACAAGCTCAAGAGCTGCTTTTGCCTTTTCATCAGGCTCTCTGTTTCTGCTCTAAACAAATTGTCCCTGTGTGCAGATTTCACAGTTGAGGGTAGATTTGTCAATCTTACCTATGATTTTCATTCCCTCTGTCACATTTTCTAACTTTGACACATCCTCAAAATTACAGTGGCCAAGAATGTTGTGCCATGTGTGAATATCATAGCACCCATGACATCCATCATCATTTTCATCACTTACAGTGTTAAGATAGTAAAGTCTATCGTACTCCTCGATGTCAATAGTGGTACCGTTCTTGTGGATGAGCTTGTTACACCCCTGTCGAAAGTTGACTGAAGCTCCGTTGGCTGTCGCTGCTTTAACAGAGAAAATGTCCTGTGGAAACGACGGCACGTACAGCGCCTTCGTCAGCGTTGTTTTCACCCGACGGCCCGTGTAATCTCTCAGGTAAACCTCCGCTGCACCTCTCCTCTCCGCGACACCATTCGTTCTTGTTCCATCAGCCAGCTCCACGGAATGTTTTTCCGGTTTGAAAGTCTCGTCAAACTCCTTAAACTTCCCGATGTCCGTGACTATATGTGACGTTGCTCCCGTATCAACCATCAGCCCTTTTTGTTTCAGTCCACGAACCTGACAGTCACTTATTCTGAATGCAAATGTGTGGCCTTCAGCATCTGTTGCTTGTTTCATATTGTCTCTTCTTTTTCGTCTGCAATTTGCGTCAGTATGAGTGGAGCTCTTGCAAAAACTACACCACTGTCTCCGTTCTCTGCGCTCTCCAGTAACGGTACATTCCCGGGCCTTGTGCCCTTTCTGGCCACAGTTGAAGCAGGTTATCTCGGTCCCTTTATCTCTTCCTCTTGGCCAGCTAACTTTAATGTTACTTGCTTTCATCACTTTGTCGTCAGTGGAAATGACGCTAAACTTCTCGGTGCTTTCATAGCTCCTCAACTTGGTTTTGAACTTGCCATAAGTTGTCGGCTCGTCACTCTGCGTTATGTGGATGGCAAACGGCTTAAATGATTCGGGCAAACCTTTCAGAATCATTGCAATCAACAGCCCGTCACTTAAAGTCTCTTCAGCATTCCTCAGTGCTGTAATAGCCGTCTCAGCATGAATGATATAATCCGTAACACTTTCGTCAGCGGCTTTCTGAAGAGAAGTTAGCTTAGTGTAGAGGCTAATCACACGTGGCTTCCCTTTACCTGCATAATGTTCCCTCAATATCTTCAACGCTTTTCTCCCATCATCTGCTGCTTCTCTCATTATCAGGGAAAGACTTTTATCATCCGAAACCTGTATCAATTCGGCGTAGGCTTCTTCATTTTTCTCTCCGTCATCTTCATCCACGCTCAATATGGTGGCCTTTAGCCCTAGCAAACGCAAGTGCCCCAAAAACTTCGTCTCCCATAACTCATAGTTTTTTTCATCTCCGTCAAAACATAATCTATTCCATCGGCTTCCATGTTCCCTCCTGGGCCCTTAACCTGTTGGTGCTGTCATCTTCAGGACAGGAATACCGGCTTACTTAACGGAGGAATAAACACACATGTTCATCGTTGGTGTTTCAACCAGAACGGGGGAAAATGCCCTTTCTTTATTTTCGCACATGCGCAGTTGTACATCTCTCATAGGGCATGACTGTACCAGCGTAAGAACATAATTTAATAACATATTAGTCTATATGTTAACACTGGTGTAATTGATGACCCCACCATTGTATAAAATATTTTGGAAGCTATAGAAATGCATTTATTAATATCTACATTCGCTTTTGCCACATGTATTATATTACAGACACCTTAATGCATACTTTTAAATTATACAGTGGGGGAAAAAAGTATTTAGTCAGCCACCAATTGTGCAAGTTCTCCCACTTAACAAGATGAGAGAGGCCTGTAATTTTCATCATATGTACATGTCAACTATGACAGACAAAATTAGAAAAGAAATCCAGAAAATCACATTGTAGGATTTTTAATGAATTTATTTGCAAATTATGGTGGAAAATAAGTATTTGGTCAATAACAAAAGTTTCTCAATACTTTGTTATATACCCTTTGTTGGCAATGACACAGGTCAAACGTTTTCTGTAAGTCTTCACAAGGTTTTCACACACTGTTGCTGATATGTTGGCCCATTCCTCCATGCAGATCTCCTCTAGAGCAGTGATGTTTTGGGGCTGTCGCTGGGCAACACGGACTTTCAACTCCCTCCAAAGATTTTCTATGGGGTTGAGATCTGGAGACTGGCTAGGCCACTCCAGGACCTTGAAATGCTTCTTACGAAGCCACTCCTTTGTTGCCCGGGCGGTGTGTTTGGGATCATTGTTATGCTGAAAGACCCAGCCACGTTTCATCTTCAATGCCCTTGCTGATGGAAGGAGGTTTTCACTCAAAATCTCACGATACATGGCCCCATTCATTCTTTCCTTTACACAGATCAGTCGTCCTGGTCCCTTTGCAGAAAAACAGCCCCAAAGCATGATGTTTCCACCCCCATGCTTCACAGTAGGTATGGTGTTCTTTGGATGCAACTCAGCATTCTTTGTCCTCCAAACACGACGAGTTGAGTTTTTACCAAAAAGTTATATTTTGGTTTCATCTGACCATATGACATTCTCCCAATCCTCTTCTGGATCATCCAAATGCACTCTAGCAAACTTCAGACGGGCCTGGACATGTACTGGCTTAAGCAGGGGGACACGTCTGGCACTGCAGGATTTGAGTCCCTGGCGGCGTAGTGTGTTACTGATGGTAGGCTTTGTTACTTTGGTCCCAGCTCTCTGCAGGTCATTCACTAGGTCCCCCCATGTGGTTCTGGGATTTTTGCTCACCGTTCTTGTGATCATTTTGACCCCACGGGGTGAGATCTTGCGTGGAGCCCCAGATCGAGGGAGATTATCAGTGGTCTTGTATGTCTTCCATTTCCTAATAATTGCTCCCACAGTTGATTTCTTCAAACCAAGCTGCTTACCTATTGCAGATTCAGTCTTCCCAGCCTGGTGCAGGTCTACAATTTTGTTTCTGGTGTCCTTTGACAGCTCTTTGGTCTTGGCCATAGTGGAGTTTGGAGTGTGACTGTTTGAGGTTGTGGACAGGTGTCTTTTATACTGATAACAAGTTCAAACAGGTGCCATTAATACAGGTAACGAGTGGAGGACAGAGGAGCCTCTTAAAGAAGAAGTTTCAGGTCTGTGAGAGCCAGAAATCTTGCTTGTTTGTAGGTGACCAAATACTTATTTTCCACTATAATTTGCAAATAAATTCATTAAAAATCCTACAATGTGATTTTCTGGATTTTTCTTTCTCAATTTGTCTGTCATAGTTGACGTGTACCTATGATGAAAATTACAGGCCTCTCTCATCTTTTTAAGTGGGAGAACTTGCACAATTGGTGGCTGACTAAATACTTTTTTTCCCCACTGTATTATGTGAACTAAACATACAAATATAAAATATATATATTTTTAAATTGTCACGCCCTGGCTCTGGGGACTATGTTATGTTGAGCCAGGGTGTGTAAGTCTATGTTTAATTTTCTATGTTGGGCTGAGTCAGTGGTGTAGTGGTCCCTGGAGAAGTGGGTATACTCTCAGTATTCACCTTTTTTTTTTTTAAGTAGTCCAGAAAAAAGCCCTGTTTTAGAAACAGTGACATGTAAGACTATGATTTAGTTTACCCAAAAATATGTAATTTCTACTTGCACACTATTATAAAATGATCATGACTTGATTAGGAGCAGTTTGTAGTTACTACTGGTCACAAGAGCAGCCTGGATGAATGTAAAATGTATTTATCATGAGGCAAACAGGAAATGGTGTTTCGATTATTTTTTGCACATTTATTTAAATAAAATACTTCAAATCTGAAGGTGACAATGCATCCTTGTTCATAT